GTGTGTGTGTGTGTGTGTTAACAGGTGGTATCCTCCCCAGTATTTCCCAGCTCTCCCGGGTGTGTGTGTGTGTGTGTGTGTGTGTGTGTGTTAACAGGTGGTATCCTCCCCAGTATTTCTACTAGGGAATATTAACAGCCCCACCACCATGTGCACAGCTATCACAGGACTCGGGCCGAGGCACAGGACCTTGCACACACTAAGCACGTCCTCTAGCACTGAGTTACATCTCCAGGTCCTGGTATTTTTGAGACAGGGTCTTGCTATGTAGCCCAGATTGTCTCAAACTCTCAGCCCACCTGCTTCCACACCTTCTGAGTGCTAGTTGACAAGCATGTGCTCCTGTCCAGCAAAAAAAACACCTTACTTCTTAATGATTTGTTTTATATTACACAATACCCTTTACAAGAGGCTGCTTTCCCCCTTAGGACCACCACCTCTCTAATACCGTGTCCTTCTACCGTCTTCTGAGATCTTCTCTCTGGAGTATAAATCTTGTGTTTCTGAACCAAGCAGCATATTCATCAGATAGAATTTTGTAGCTCAGCACAGAACTATACAATCTCTCTGATGAAAAGGCATAAATAAATATGCTAAGATCGGACAGGAGTGGTGGTGCGTACCTGCAAGGAGGTGAGATGTGAATATTACAAGCTCAAGGCTTGTAACATACAAACTCAAAGGGGCTGTAAATTCAGCCCCTTTTGGATCCACCTAAGTGTCAATACGCTTTGTGAAATAATGGTACAATTCACTGCGGCCTACAAACCCACAATTAATTTTAGGAAACAGAAACCGTATTTTTTTTTTCTTACCCGGTATCCTAGTTCATCAAGCTCTCTCTCTAAATCCTCCAGCACAGTCACTACCTCCTCCCCATTCTCCAGGTTCTGCTCCTGCACCCAGGCCTGCAGCTCCCTAGGCAGGATGGTCAAGAACTGCTCCAGCACCAGCAACTCCAGGATCTGTTCTTTGGTGTGGGTCTCGGGTCTCAGCCACTGACAGCAAAGTTCTCGGAGTCGGCCCAAAGCCTCCCGGGGTCCAGATGTTTCCTGGTAGCAAAACTGTCGGAAGCACTTTCGGAAGACTTCTCTGTTGTAAGTGTTCTTTTGTAGGCTCCAATCTTGTCTGGTGGTATACTTACATTCTTCTTCCATCTTCATTTTCAAAACTCCCTCCTGGTTCTTACAGATCTCCGTATCACCAGTAGATGCCATCATAGCTTATACAAAAGATTTACAAGTGTCTCAAGTAATAACTCCTTTATGGAGTGAACCTAAGGAATAAGCCATCATTATTAACACAAACTATCATAAGTAAATACTACATATTTTAAGAATTTAAGTGTGATAGTCGAAAGCCTGCCCTCCAGTGAATTGCCTGTTCTCGGTGGAAATTTAAGTACTTTCACAAAAATAGACAAAAGTGAAAACGATGCCAAGTTGTTTCAGGATTTCTGGGAGTAAGGCTTGGTGAGAAACTTATCTCCATTTATTCCTAAAGTAAAACACAACTAACTGAAATAAAAACTTCAGAACGAGTAGACGGCGTTGGGGAAGAGCAAGTGCTGCCTACCATGCGCAAGGTTCAATACCAGTATCACAAAAATAACTGCACCAGTCGAGGAGTAGACAATTACCACGACTGTCTGCTTTTGAAATTTTTCAGAATACCTCACGCCTAGTGGAATAAAATCATACACACACAACAGTCACGCGAATTGGATTATTCATAAAGGGTGAAGGTTGGAGGTGATTCTGTCCGTCTGCCCCTCCAGTTCTCTGACTGTAAATCTAAGCTCTGCAGCGCTGCTAGGTCCCGGCCGGCTCTGCGCCCCAGGCGTACCACGGGCGGCCACCCTGCGGTCCGGGTGGCCTTCCCCCCCAGCTCCAGCCATCTTTTTAAGATCACAGTCCAGGCCGCAACCCGCGCCCTCCCGCCAGCCGGGAGCAGCAGCTCGCTCACCACGGCGCTCCTGCGCAAAGATGGGGAATCCAGACGGCGCAGGAACCGGAAGCTATCCCGGGCCGCCACGAAGGCCGGAACGGTGGAGCCCGGGCGCTAGGCGTGCGCACTCCCAGGGCCACTCTACCGAGGCGCGGCGTTCTACTCTATGGTTGTGCCCCCCACCCCCCTCCCGCGCCTGCGCGAGAAGGCTGGGATTTTCAATCTGAGCGGACCGAACCTTGCGGGAAGTAGAGGATTCCCATCCTTGCGGGTTTTCGAGTTTGTGTTTCGGTATCTCTGAGATAGATGAGTGATGCGTCAGTGACACGTTCTCCCGGACCCTTCCCGACTCAGCTATACTTCTCCAGCGTGGATGGTCTCCTCAAACCCAACCTGTGGGGTTTTGATGGCCTTTTCAATGGTTCTTCTCTGGTGTCCTTTTTTATACTGGTAATAGGATCATAAATTTGAAAAGCCACGATGGCCAATGGGGGAAATATACTAAAAGGATAACTTAGTAAGTTAGGATATAAACAACACTAAAATCAGCCTTCATATATACAATCGTGAATGAAAAAGCCACAGCTACAAAAACAAAAAATACTCAAGACCAAGAAATGTGCCACATTTACTTCGGAGAAATTTTAAAACACCCTTTAAAAGGCCAAATATGAACATAAATAGCAATTTGCTTTTCTTGGGTAGGAAAACTCAACAAAAGTATCGAATACTCCTTAAATATGATATCCCAATAAACACATTTTTCTAGAACTAAAAAATATTTTGAAATTAAAATGGAGAAGAATCAAGAACCCTCTGAAAAAGAATAATGATTAATGGTCTTATCACGTACTAGAACATCCTGTTATGGAGTGGGGGAAAATCTCATCCCATTCTTAGGGAGCTAATACTAGCACATGGGGAAGGTGATAAAAAAAAATGTAAGCTCTCAAAGACAGTATGAGTTTATTATGGAGCAAAATATGTGTGGAGCATGGCTCAGGAACTTGGATTTAGGTTACCAGAACAAAATAAATCAAGGCAACTATAAAAGATAATTGGTGGAAATGTGAGGTAGGTTATAGCTCTCTGAACAGCCTTGGATTGGTGGAACCAGGTGACATGTTAGTATATTTCAAAGGGATTTACCTAATAAGACCAAGGACATTAAGTCAGACATAGAAGTGGGCAATGAATGGCTATAAAGAGAGCTAAATGTAGCATAAGATAATTTGTCTCTGAACTCTGCAACATTGAAACTCTCCATAACCACCTAAATTCTAATCATTCAATCAGTCTTGTAGATAACACAAACTGGCTACTTCCCCCCCCCCCCCCCCGAATATCTGTTCACACTAGTTAGATAATAGGAGACCTGGATGTCATTAGGGATGAACCCCTCCCTTATAATCAAGAACTGAAACTGCAGGACTAGTCAAAAGATCAGTATTAGGTCACATTTCTGAGGCTGGGTGCAACTACCCGGAAGGTTGCTAGTAGATGACTATGTAAACTTTACAAGATAACTAGCCAGAGGCTTTCTGGTAAAGAAGAAAGATAGGACATTGTCCCTTCATAAATCTTAATCCAAATGAGCCTGTCAATCACCTGAATGGGAAAGCACCCCTCAGGAAAGGGGAGTCAGTTCTGGAATCTTTGTAAATAGCCTTCCTACCTTGTAGGTTAGCACGGTGGTCTCTTTAGCACTGTCTACTCTCACCTCTTAAGACTGTGCTAGCCTCTAGTCTACAGTAAACTTGTCTCTCTGCTGCACTTCTCTGTGTGTCTCGGAATTCTTTCTTTTTTGTTTTGTTTTGTTTTTTCGTTTGTGCTTTTTTGCTGGTTTTATTTTGTTTTTTTCTTCGAGACAGGGTTTCTCTGCGTAACTTTTGGAGCCTATCCTGGAACTCACTCTGTAGACCAGGCTGGCCTCCAACTCACAGAGATCCGCCTGCATCTGCCTCCTGAGTGCTGGGATTAAAGGCGTGTGCCACCACTGCCTGGCTCGTTTGCATTATTTCAATGGAAATCCAAGGATGGAGAACCCAAAAGGATCCAGAATAAGATCCTGGTGATACCATAAGATGCCTTCATGTTTGGTGGGTCACTGGAACAGATTAAAAAGGTTTCATATCTCTGTCTTCATTGTATCTATTCCCACTTTCTGCTTTAACTGTTGGGTCATATTATACAACATTCTGTGCTTTGGTATACTGATCATTGAGCAATTTTTTTTGTCCAAAACTATAATACAAGGTTATCTTACCTAGACTTGCTTAGGATTCCTCCTCAGCACTCACTGGTAGTTATCATGACTGGAAACACAAAGCCATGAGGGAAGTGAGACAAGTGCCAGAAGAGCTCCTACTTCTAGAAAAGATGAACATTCCTCCCTTTAACGAGTCTCTTTTGCTATTCCATTCCTATATCTATAACTGCTCAGTTTCCCGTCCCTTTTTTCTATTCTTGTTCTTAATTTTACTTTTACTGTGTATATTTTGTTTATATGTATTGTGGTATTCATATCAGGATGTTTGGGTGGAGGGCCAGAAAACTTTCAGTAGCTGTTTCCCTCCTGTGAGAATTTTTTCTTTTAGTAAAAGAAGACAGCCCACCAAGGGCCAATATCCACAGTCATCATGGCAGGCAGACAGGCAGGCAGGCAGGCAGGCAGGTATAGTGCTGGAGAAATAGCTAAAAACTTACATCTTATTGGCAAGATGGAGGCACAAAGAGAGACTGGGCCTGGCCACCTCAAAGCCCACCCCTAGTGGCACACTTTCCCCAGCAAGGCCACACCTCTTAATCCTTCCTAAACAGTCCACTCACAGGAACCAAACATTCAAATATATGAGCCTGTAGGGAACATCCTCACTCAAACCACCACAGGTATCATCAGATTCCTTTCAGAGTTAATTTTAAATGCTCCATAGATGACCAATGGGGGAAAACTCAGTACACAGTATCTGCCCATCCATGAAGGTTGTTGCTGGTTCTCTAAGTTTCTGCAGGGTAAGACTAGATGTGCATTAAGCTGAGCAGTTAGCAGAAATGGTGTCTTAGTTACATTAACCACCAAGATTCCCATTATCTTTTCTCTGTAATAAACAGATTAAATACAGTTCTTCCTTAATCTTATTTTCAAAGGGTTTCCTTGTGGTAAGATTGTCCATTTTCTCTGGACACTGTTATTAGTAGCCTTCTTCGCTTGGTTATAATGTGTCCCATCTCTTTCAGCTGTCTTAACCATGTTTTTAGTGGTTAATAGCACCAAAAATCATCCCCCAGACTAGTTCCAATTTGTTCTCTTTCCGGTGTGTATCAGCACTTAGTCCCTAGCTTGTAAAGGATGGGCTGAAAAACTGAATGGAAGAGTCTGGGCAAGAAGGCCTTGTAACCTAGAAAAAAGCAAAGTGGAGGAGAGATCTAGTATATAATTTCTAAGAAACTGATTCTTAGTTTCCATGGTGGGAAGGTCTATGGACATACTAAGATATAGCAAGCCATGTAAGGTTTTATATGCATACAGCCCACACCTCTTCTTAGAACTATTTTTATTCTGAGCAAAAGCTTAGGGAGATAGTTATGACAGTTATGAATTGGTATAAGATACATTTTGAGGTTGTTTTGTTTTGTTTTGTTTTGAGACAAGGTCTTTCTATGTAGCTCTGGCTGTCCTGGAACTCTCCACATAGACCAAGCTGGCTTCAAACTCACAGATATCCACTGTAGTCAGATTTTTTTTTGACTACCCTCTCAAAAATAACAACACAGAGACTTATTATTAATTATGAAAGCTCGGTCCTAGCTTGGGCTTGTCCCACTAGCTCTTAGAATTTATATTAGCCCATATTTTTATTAATCTACATTCTACCACATGGCTTTTACCTCTCTCCAATTCTGTTTGTCGAACTTATTCTATATCTCAATGGCATCTTCCCTTTCTTTCCAGAGTCCTCTCTGTTCCTGGAAGTCCCTCCTAACTTTTTCCTGTCTAGCTATTGGCCGGCCATACAGCTCTTTATTAAACCAATCAGAAGCAGCCTTAACAAAGATTTGTCTTCACAGTATAAACAAATATTCCACAAAATTTCCCCCTTTTTGTCTAACTAAAAAGGAAAAGGTTTAACTCTAACACAGTAAAACTATATATAATAGGAACAATTATGAGGTAAGAATTACTGCTATGGAACAATCCTTTTCTATACTATGAATATGAATTACCCTCATTGATTAATAAAAAAAACTGACAGGCTGGTAGCTGAGCAAGAAGTTAGGTGGGAAAGCCAAAATGAGAATGATGGAAAGAAGGAGGACAGAGTCAGGAGAGCTGCCATCCAGCCACCAAGCAGGATGTATAAAAAAAAAATGAGGTAGCAAGCTAAGAACCATGTTGCAAAGCATAAATAGAAAAATGAGTTAATTTAAGTGTAAGAGTTAGCTAGAAACAAGCCTGAGCTATTGATTGAGCATTTATAATTCATATTTGGCCTCTGAGTCAGTTATTTGAGACCAGATGGACAGGACAGGAAATTACATTTGCAATATACAGTAAATTTGTATTTGGCAAATTTGGAGAAAATACCTTGTTATCTATCCTATCTTATTGAGACCAAAGTTTTATACCTAAACCATTATCTATCAAAACTTGGATTACCATCCTAAAAATAGCTTTTTAGACCTTAAAACATTTTCTTAGATAAACAACTTAAGCTTTTATGTCTCTCAACCTTATACACTTTACACCTCTTTTGTTGGTTTCTTTTCTGAATTTTGTAACAAGGAAAACTGTAGTTAAAACTATCTGGTCTTCAACCCCATCAAAGACCTGAGAAGGATATAATACCACCTGAATAAACAGGAAGTGCAGAGCAAGCAACTTCTAAAACTATAGAAATGACAGAAACATCAGGTTGCCTGGACCCAAGGTTTCTCTGCATCACTGGGGCATCCATCTTCAGCCTACAGGCCTTGAATATCTGACAGACTTTTTGTGAAGCAGGAA